AGGTGCGGACCACAAGGACAGGTTTGGTCTAACAAGTTGATGGGTCCCACTCGGGGATGAGCCGGGGTTTTCTCTATATTTTACAATATATAATTTGAAGGTAATTTTATACGAGACAAGCTGTATAAGTTAATATGTTGAGAATGTTCTGGTTGTAATGTCGGAGGAATATTTCATTGCCCCACAAGTATTGCTATGCTGTTCTCTGTCGCGATGAATATTTCATTGACCCCATGAATATTACAATGTTGTTATCAGACACGATGCTATGCAATACTGTACTCAGAATTGTGTGACAATAAACTAAGTATTTTTAAAAAAAAGGGAAGTGGCATAATGTAATTTGTGACGAGGGTCCCCTCCCCCCCCACACACACACACACACACACACACGTGTCCCTCGTCGACAGGCGTCCCCCTCCAACAGATACGTGTAGTCATGTATTGCAAGACATTTTGGAGCGGTTCCAGTGCCGGTTTCTGGTTTGGACACTACCCCCAACTGTGGTCCCATTACAGGCCAGTTTGGACGTCCGCTCGTGGGGTATTTGTGCTTCATGATGACCTCTCATGTGAACGACATTCCCTGGAGGACGTGATTATCAGCGTAACGCGTTGAGAATAACCAGCTCCGCATGACGGATATAGCTGTTTGATATACAGTAAATCTTGAAGATCATAATTGGGACTGGAATTAGACTACCAAGGGATCATCAACTCTGCCATGTGCTTAGTAGTTGGTCTATATTAGACTGTTCACACATCATGAAGGACACATTGAGGGGGATTTATCAAAACTGGAGTAGACTAAATCTGGAGCAACAGCTGTGCAGGGCAACCAATCAGCTTCTCTCTTTTATGTTCAAATCTTAACTGAACAAACTGAAGAGAGAAGCTGATTGGTTGCCATGGGCACCTGCACTAGATTTTGATAAATTCCCCCGTGTTTTTAATGTATATATATTTGTAATAAAATTTTATTTCTATAGATATATAGTCATCTGTGACATCATTAGCACTTCCTATGAGCATCCCCCCCCCTTCCCATAAGAAGAAATAAATCGTTAAAAAAAAAACACATGGTCCCATAAAAATACGTTGGATGCTCTCACATAAATTAGCACAATGCCATATGGGATTTTAGCAATTGCAAACCTGTGAAAATGTTGTCACTGTGCCAACTTCTGTTGAAATTACCTAACTTGATCTTATCTTTATGTGACACTAACAATTTACGCAAACGGATCTTGTTTCCTGTGTGTGTACTAACGTCATGTTGAAAGAGGGAGAAAGTTCTTACATTAAAAACACAAACTTTGCCATTCTGCTGTGTAACAAAAACCAAATAACCATCGCACTGCGTCCCCACCATCGCACTGCGTCCCCTCCAGACGTTTTCAGTTATATTTTGTAATCCCGGGTTACCAACAAGATAGGTTCTGTAGGTTTGTTCTTAAGTTGAATTTGTATGTAAGATGGAACAGGTACATTTTTTAAGTGTAACTCCAGTCCAAAAAAGTTTTGGATAGCATAGGGAAGGGTTTACCCCCTGTAACGTTTGTTTTGCTGTGTGTGCCCCTGTTCAGAAGATTTCACCTCACTTTCTGTCCCTGTGACAATTGGATTTTGAAGATTGTAAACAAGGATTGGTGATAAAGCTTCAGTGGAGACACCTTTTTCCCCATGATAACTCTTACAAGAGTGAATTCCCCTTCCTAGGGGTAGATTTCCTCTCACTTCCTGTTGTCTCAAGGACAGGAAGTGAGATAAAATCTTTCTAATGAGGATACAGACAGCAGTAAAAACCTCACAGTGACCTGGAAGAAGAGGCGGGCACCCCGTCATCTGCACGTCTAACAAGAGCAAACTTCCTGTAATGTACGTACAGCACTATGAACCAAACCCAAAACGGCGGGCACTCCTCGTTGGCTGGAGCGCGGTAGCATTACAACGACTGAAATGCTGCGCGGTACACTTTGGCGGCAGCCTGGGACCCCATGCTGTACAGTAATAGCCTCCGTTTGTAAGTAGGGGTCGTATGTAAGTTGGATGTTTGTAACTCGGGGACTGCCTGTAAATATTTGGGGTGGTACAAATTAGGTAAAAATTGAGCTGCACAAAATTCCAGGAAAATATGGATTTTCTACCTAATCGGACGCTTGCAAATTAAAGTCTTGGCAAAAATGTATACAGCTACTCCTCACTTAACGACCGTTCGGACTGATGACCAGAACAAGAACTTGGGTATTTATTAGGGCTGGTACTGATTCAAAATTTTGTGTTCGATTAAAAAAAATGTTGATTCATTGATTAATTATAACGCACATACAGATCCAACTACATTGGCCTATACACATACAGCACAGCAATGAAGTAATACAATGAACGAGGATCACACTAATCCAGCACGTTAATAATCTCACGTGCCCCACTCAATAAGGCCGCCGCTTAAGTGGGGCAACTCAGAATAATAACGTGCTGGATTAGTGTGATCCTAGTTCATTTTATTACTTCATTGCTGTGCTGTATGTGTATAGGCCAATGCCTTGGCTGGCGCTCTCGTAGAAAGTTTCTTGGGCAAACTCACCGGCCCAAGTGGCTCCGTCGGCTAACGAAGGGAAGGGGGGAGGAGTCCGGTGACGTCACGGACATCGAAGTCACCGGACTCCTCCCCCCTTCCCTTCGTTAGCCGACGGAGCCACTTGGGGATGGGGGGAGGAGTCTGGTGACGTTGATGTCTGTGAGGTCACCGGATCTCCGACGGGACTCCCGGAAGCCGGCAGAGAGGTGAGTGTTTTCATTAGCGATCAAAATAATTTTAATCAATCAAAAAGTTTAACAATTAAATCGAGAAATTAATCGTTAATTTCCGCAGCCCTAGTATTTATTGTACGCAAACCTAAGTAATCGACCATTCATATTTGCGACTAGCCCTCCGACCGGTCAGTATTGTACACTGTGCAAGAACTTGGGTATTTATAGTATGCAAACCCAAGTAATCGACCAGTTAGACTTACGACCAGCTCTCTGAACGCTCAGTATTGTACACTGTACCGTATATGTTGGAGCCCATTTCCTCTATTCCTCGCTTGACGACCTGGTCATTAGAACGGAACTCGGTCGTTAAGTGAGGAGTATCTGTACTACTTCAGGTAGACCACAAAACCCAATAATTAAGGTGCACAGCTGAGGCATCTATGAAAGAAAATTCTTATCCTTTTTGCCCCATTAAACCTAAACTGGCCCACCCCCTTCCCTCCACAGATGCAGGCTTACCTCAAACAGACAACCGTGGCCTCCAGCATTTGTTTACATCCAGCACCTAAAGTCACACTGTCCTGGCCACTCCTGTGCATTAGGGTCCCCGTGGACTTCTATGGGGCTGGGCTCCAAGGCTAGAGACATATGTAGATGGTCCTATGGAGGTCTATGCAGCTGTAATGGGCAGGAGCTGCCAGGAGAGTGAGACTTGTGGCGCTGGATGTAAACAAACACCAGAGGGCAAAGTCATGTAAGTATATAGCTGTGGAGGAGGAGGGTGGGTTAGGTTACAGTGATATTAAAGTCTAAATTCTATTACAGCCCCTTCACAAACGAATGCTTCCACATGTGTGCTCCCTACAGCCCTCCTAAAAAACCCCACATATGATATTTATACCCTCATATCAGTCATTGAACGTATTATACGTAGCTCATTTATATAATGCAATTTGTTTTGGTTTAGCTGGTTTGCTTTAAAGAAGAACTCTAGGTAAAGTTAAAAAAACACTTACCCTTACGGTGGGGCTACCCATGTGCTGCTTGTTTTGTTTAGGGGGCTCAGATAAAGCAAATATACTTACCTGATGCTCAGTCCTACGGCAGTCAGCACTCACCTCTCCCTCTGCATTCCAGCTATTGTCCCACAGGCGTCCTCACATCTAATGCAAGTTAATGGACCTGTATTAGACGTGATGAGGTCAGCGGTCCATAGACTCCCAGAACACTGAGAAGAGGCTGCAGGGATTGGTCTAGCAAGGAAGCCGGAGGGCCTGAGGATCAGGTGAGTAATACAGCTTTATTTGAGACCCATAGGCCCCATTCACACTAGGGCAGTAGTAGCGTTACAGTGCGATTTTTGAAAGGGCGTTCAGCTGTCAGCACTGCAACGCAATTAAAAACGCCCAAAACTAGCTGATCAGCGTGTTTTCATTGAAATCTATATGGAAAACGCGCTGATCGGCTTAACAAAAGTAGCTCAGGGAGCATTTTGGGCGGCAGGCGGTTTGGATCGCGCAGATCCCCTCCCTTGCATGAACGGTCCCCATAGGAATGTATGGAATTGTTCATGTACGCGTTTCAGCGTGGAAAAATCCACATGACCGAACCACCCTGGTGTGAATGGGGCCTTAAAAAGGAGAACTATGAGGCGAGTGCTTTTCACTCACCTCATAGTTCTAGCCGACCTGTGACAATGAGACTGTCACAGGTCGGCTCAGTAGATCGGGAGGTGAGCGAACATATACCGGCGTTCGCTCACCTCTCGATCCTGTCACGGCTCTCTGCCGTGACAGGGGAGGGACTGGATTCCCCCCTCCCAGCTCCGATCTGCCAGCGCTGACTGGCGGATCGGACAGGGAGGGGGCGGGTACAGCTGGCTCTGCCTCTAGATAGGCAGAGCCAGCTGTCACTCGCGCAGCTGGGCGGATCTCGACATCGATGTCGGGATCCGCTCCGGCTGCGGCATCTCAGTATACCGCAAGCTGTAGCCTAGGGTGACGGGAGGACGCTAGTTTGTGTCCTCCCGTTACCCTAAGGAGAACTATGGGGAAAAGACCTGACCCCATAGTTCTCCTTTAAGCAAAACAAGCACTTAACCCTTGCATTGTGGAGAAAGCACGACTAGAAGGCTAAGTTTTCTGTTTACCCAGAGTTCTTTAAGAAGTTACCCCCAAACATTATCTTTGGTGACACAGAGCACAGATGACAAGACACAGAGGCGTAGTGCCTTCCATACTCACATTCTTGCTTGAAGGTGAAATACTCTGTTAAGTGTCGGCACTCATGGTTCCCTCGCAGGAGAAACAGGGTTTTGGGGTGAATCATTTTCAGGCTCCAGAGGTAAAGCACACACTGATGGGAGACAGAATCAATAACAATTGTTTAGAAGTCAGCTACTTACACACATGCAGACATTGTCTTGTATAGAAGATGAACCCAAAGAGTCTGAGGAAACAAAGCCGATTCTTCCAGGACATTATTTGAAAAATAAAAGAAAGAACGTGACTGGCTTCTAGGACTACAGAGATGGACACCGGCACTCCAGGGCAAGTCAAGTACACCTATTTATTCACGTACATGTTGCAAAGCAAGAGCACTAGGTGCAACGTTTCGATATCTCACAACTTGTTTGCCTGATGAAGGGGATCCTGTGAGACCACGAAACAATGCACCTAGTGTTCTTGCTTTGCAACATGTACGTGAATAAATAGGCGTACTTGACTTGCCTTGGAGTGCCGGTGTCCATCTCTGTAGCTATATATTTTGGCGGTTGCCATCCACAGCACCCATTTCTTCACTGATGGAACAGCAGTTCTGAGTGCAATGGGTATTTGGACTTTATCTTGGCTTCTAGGACTGACATGAACAGGTTTTCCTTTAGATAAATTAGGTCTGCGGCACACTTCATGGTGCTCTACATTTCACTGACCTCTATACTGAAGTATCCTCGGTCCACGTAGTCCCCCAAGAAGAGGTAGCGTGTGGTGTGAGGAGAACCGCCAACCTCAAACAGCTTCATGAGGTCAAAGAACTGCCCGTGGATATCTCCACACACTGCAAGAGGGGGGAAAAAAGCATGCAAGGTGTCAGACATGTTCTTAGGTCTTTGACTAAGAGACCGAATGTGCTATACATTAGGAAACTATACTGCTGGGTTTGTATCTCATTTGTTTATTTCAGTGCTGGAAGCTTCTTGTTAGTTCTTCATCGCTTGCTTTTACTTTATGTTCTAGGAAATGTGAAACGGCAAAAAGTCATGGCCAGGAAGGACGCCCTCTTGATCCAATAGACACGTTTGCTTGCAGATTCTAGCACTGTTGCAGGAAGACACAAAGCCATTCTGAGCCTGGTGAAGGGGACCCTGTGCGGCTTGAACTGGAATGACTGTACTCCATTAATAAATGGACTTTTGTTGATCTCACTTAAATATTGTGCTAGTGACATCCTTTTATAACTTGTATATCTTCACGGCCCCATCCGTGTTCACTACGAGCACCCACCAGGATTTCAAGGAACATCCTAAACCGGTAAGGAGTGCAGTATGACACCTACATATTACTCATGATCAGGTAGACATGCTTGCTTGCAGATTCTATTACTGTTGTAGGAAGACACAAAGTCTCCAACGCTCCAAGTAAATGTGAAGACAGCCTCATAGGAGTCAAAGAATACCAATGTTTTGGGGCCTTGCAGGGTTCCTTTCTCAAGACAATAGTGCCATTATCGATGGTCCATGCAAGACCCAAATGTCGGTACTGTCTCACGTGACGCTGTCTCCACAACAAATGTGTATCAGGCCTCAAAAATTTCCACTCGCCCCCTTGCAATTTGCATGGGGGCGAGTGGAAATGAAGTAATTGAGTCATGCACTCGATCATGGACCGAATACCCAACTCCTGGAGGCATCCCAGATGGCTTACCCGTATGCTGCCGCCCACAGCAGTGCACCTTCCCATGTTAAAGGTGGCTGGATGACAGCAGCCATCTTTACTAAGGTCCGATGTTCGAATGATAGAACATCCGCGCCCAGTGGCTCGCCATCCTGAGTTCTCTGCAATGGTTCCATCGTAGCGTTCATAACCACTTCCATATTTAGGTCACATGCCACGGACAGCGGAGCTACTCCCGTAGCCAATCATAGCATTCCCTTTCACTCCAGTCGCCAATCAGAAACCTCTTTTTTCCCGCGCCAATCACTCAAGACGCTGACTGGGCCCTCTAATAAGAGGCGGGCGGTAATTGGCTACTTGGTCCTGTGCTGTCCGGGATCAATGTAGTAGGTGAGTAGTGGAGGCGAGAGAGTGCCAGGTGGCTGCGGTGGGACGTAACAGGTGAGCGGGGACGATTCTGTCCGTGTGATTAAGCTGTTATTAGAGCTAAACCCAAGTACGTCAGCCATTTCCGGAACTGTACAGGACCATACAGGGTGCCTACCCGCTTATTAACCCCTTGAAGCCCGGGCTGTACCCTGTCCTGGTGTTCTATCATTCCAGGGCAGGGCAAGGCAACTGGTGGCGAGTAACTTTGAAGGCCTGGCTAGTAGCTCAGGACCTGACATTCTGAGCCCTGGTGTACATGATACGCATTTACTTGAAACGCTGGTGACTTTGCATTCTCCTGTCTGGTTTTGGCATGACACCCACCACCTGTTTCTCTCATTTCGAGGCACCAACCGTTCATCTCAACACCGTCCCGCTGGCGTAACACATATGTGCGTCACCCCAACAGGTGGCCTTTAACACCAGCTGTGGGGATATATACTTTAGCTATCCCACTAATCTGTACTGAGGGCATGATCACTAGCGCACTCCCAGCACACGGACCAAGTTGTCACTAACAGCTCCAAATAACAGACTATGATTGAAAGCCGGTTGGACAGGCCACCAATCACGTGACTGCAGTGATAGCCAATCACATGATCAGGAAAGTCCCCCTCGGAATCCCAATGTTAAGATCTCCCAAAAGGGTTTGCTGGGAGTAGGTGGCAAGGGTTCAGGTTGAATACAGTGAGTAGCTTCAAAATCTGGGCTTTACTATTATTGATGTATACAGGCCAACAGAGATTATATGACCATGAGAAAGCTGCTTCCATTATTGTAAAGGTGTTAGTCAAATAATAAGACAATGCGGTAATTGCCATAAGATGCTTCAATGGTCATGAGATGTGCTACTAAAATAATATCAAGTCATTACATTGATGAACGTCATTGACGGACCCTGTGTTCAAATGATGATACTAGATCTACCAGTCTGAGCAAGAGGTGAATGAAGACGTGGCCAACTTGCCTGTGATGGGGGCCTCCACTTCAAGCATGGTTTTCTCTTGTCGTAGAATGGCTGCTCCCTCTCGAATTATACGTAAAGCCACCTCTTCCTCCAGTCTCCCCTCCTTGATCAGGTGATTCTTCAGCGTTTCCAGCTGAGGACGGCCTTCCACAAAAACCTCATTCATAGTCAGTCGTCGCGTGGGCGGAAAAGGGACGGCTGCAAGGCAAAGTAAGACATTACAGAAGGACCAGACTATATAGACTAATCTATAGAGTACAGACTACAAGAGGCGACTATGCAAAATAAAAAAAAGGAGCACAAGGGAGAAAGCAAACTGGATCAAACGTATCTTCTGAGAGAAAAAAAAACAGTCGATGAATCAGTGTCCTCCTCTCCTTCAGCCTGCCTACAAGAACACCAAAGAGGGAACGCTCAATGCATTCATGCCTAATGTCCATGTCAGACACCTACATGAGTCTTCAAGTCACATGTGGCACCCGACAATGACCAATGGTATAAATCCAGGTTAGACCAAATCAAGTAGAATTCATAAGTCAGGAGGACCTAGGAACAAGCAGGCCACATCTCCAGTCATCGAGAACAAAGATGGCTCAAAACATTAGGATCTACATGATGTTTTAGGTTCATTGATTACCTGGATCCAATGTTCTGTTCAGGTACATCTGGCCTACACTGGACATTGTGCCCTATAAACTATAAATTATAATATACACACAATTGTGTCCCATATGTCCATACACCAGAATCCCCAGATACGGAACAAAATTCCAAACATTGATGGGTCCGGGCCATGTCTAGGTTCATGGGATCTATTGCGGCAGTGTTGGGCAGAATGCTGCATGTAGTAAGTTGTACCCCACTGATCACCAATGCTGAGGGAAGGAATGTTCCTCATTGACCATCAACGAGGGGTGGTGGGGGATAGTACTCCAGTATATCTGGCAATGCATTGGTCGAATTTTGGACAGCACGCTGCCTTTCCCCCCGGATTCGACAAAAGTCTATTTTATTAATTGACTTTTGTGGAAGGAGCCAGTATGAAAAATCTCAGCTAAACAAGGACTGCAGCCAATCAGAATTCTATGAGATGGGGAAATGGACCATTAATATAATATGCTAAACCTCACAATGAATGGCCAGCCCTACCATCAACAGTGGGGAAGGTGGGATTGTTGGAAAGCTTGGGGAGAACATGGTAAGGGGGGGGGGGGTTTCCTCATTGATGACCGATACTGGGGCAGCGGGGCATTTTTGTCTGCCCTAGCCCACCACCAGGGAGGGCATTTTCATCTCTTTCTGTCCACCAATGGCATGAAAGCTTTCCCTGTAACGGACTTCTGACAGCAGGGTATTTTTCCTCTAAATGACTTGCAATATAAAAGGGCACCATATTGCATACTCCTGACCACTGCACTCTGTTCCTGATCAGTGCACTATATATACACCATGACCGAATTACTCTATATGCTATGTTGTACATTACATACCCATTTTCAATGTGTTTATTGTCTCAACAGTTGCTGGTTGCTAAGAAGTCCCATCGATTCTAAATGAAGGTCTTTTTTAGGGTTCAAACTGTTATCCATATACACCGATAGTGAGAAGTCCTATTGTATATATGACATCTATATATACCGCACACTGCACCCTATATACACCGATATACAGAGAAGTCCTATTGTATATATGAGATCTGTATACACCGCACACTGCGTCCTATATACACACAGATATACAGAGTAGAGAAGTCCTATTGTATATATGAGATCTATATACACCGCACACTGCGTCCTATATACACCGATATACAGAGAAGTCTAATTGTATATATGAGATCTATATACACCGATATACAGATGAGAGAAGTCCTTGTATATGAGATCTATATACTGCACACTGCGTCCTATATACACCGATATACAGAGAGGTCCCATTGGATGATTTATGTATACATATATTATATAATATATATATATTATATAAAGGGAATTCGGTGACACTGACATACAGAAGAGAGAAGGAATTCAGGGTTTTACCTTGCAGCAAATAAAGATTTTAATGTAATAAAAGGAGGGAATGAATCCAGCACAAAGGAACAATAAATCAGAGCCGCTCACACAGAAAGTTGCATCCATAACGGAGACAAAGACACACACACACGATGTGCCCGCTGGTGCCGAGGAACACACCATTCCCAAATATAGGGTCTGTCTGTGCAGTTTCTGTGGCAATGCCAAGGGGCTGTCAGTGTGTGAGGAGCAGGGTGCTAATTACATGGCAGGAAGAGAATCAGCCCCCACAAGACATGGCTGCCCGCACTGCACAAGTGTATGTGTGTGGGATAGAGAAGTGTACATCCCAGATAAACACAAGAACATGCGGCGTAACCCTTCCATGGCTGAATCCTGCAGACAACAATAACGTCTGATCTGAGCACATGCTGCGCCGCGGCAGTCGCAGGGTAAAGGTGGTCATAGACGTCTCTGATATGTGACCGGTCGAGGTAAGAGCGTCAAGATCATCAAATAAAATACGGAGCGATGCAACACATACAGTATGGATTGAAAATACGATCGATTTATTGTAAACGATCATTTAAATTGATCGGTCAGGTGCAGATATTTCCTTGATCAATTAAAATTCTACCTCGGAGGATCGGCTGGCCAGCGCCGAAAGGCGCCGGCCACACTTCACAATGCGTGAACACACATTGTTGGCGCATTCATGCGGCAAAGAAGTTGATGCAGCATTTTCAGCCGCGTTTTTTTGACCACACGTTTGTTTTGTGCCTTTTACCGGCCAAGTTTGGGCTGCCATGAACGAGTAATGTCACCGCAAGCACGTTGCACATTTTTGACATAGAAGATTGCAATAAAAAGGAAGTGACCACAATTTCGTCAAAAGCAAAGTGTATGGGCGGCCGAAAGTTTGCTGCGCTTGACTCGCTCAGACTGGAACTAGTAAGGGAATAGAGCAATGAAGTGATCACATGTGTAAGAAAGAAGCTCTCATGGTTCTCTTACCATAAGTCATGTGACCCACTGCAAATTTGGCGGCCGCATGAATGTTTATGGCCCGACAACACACACAACAGTTATGGTGATCAGGTAAGGGAAAAAGCCACCCAAAGTCCAACGCTGGCCTCCCATTATAATAAAATATGTGCTGCATCTGCAGTTTTCTCTTCACCTAATGCAGTCTCCTGCGACGGTGTGGCAACAATACTGCACCGCTCCTGAAAACAGAGCAAAGTTTCCCCTCTCATGTAGGCTTTGTCTGCATGCAATACAGTGGGATGAGGAGATGTTGGAGGGGGCTTTGTTAGTAGCATGGGCACCACTGTAGCTTGTCAGCAGTGGCGTCACAGGGGGGTACGGGCCGCACCCGGGTGACACCAAAATTACTGACAGTCATTTCAGTGTCACCCCCCTCTAAAAAGTCGGCACTCGGTCATGGACCGAGCGCCGGACAGTTTCGAGAGAGAGGAGGGGACCCGGCGGCATACCTTATCCCGCAGGGTGACCGTCCCCACCTCTCTGCTGACGTCCATCACCAAGATGGCCGCCGGCAGGTATCAATAAGATTGTCGCGCATGCGCGATGACCTCATTGCACACGTGCGCGGTGACGTCACGGTGGGGTGTCACCCAGTAACTGCTCCGGGTGACACCAGCCCTCGGGACGCCCCTACTTGTCAGTCATCACCTGACCAAAACTAGCCCTACCCACTGCTTTCTAGATTGACAGCGCTGCCTCTGCTGCTGAAACCTCCCGCTAAAAAGAATTTTGACGCCATCAGAAAGGCATAAAAACTACAACAACAACAAAAAAAATTCTAAGGATCATTAAAAAAGATAGAAATACATCCAATGGGGGGTCCTGGAGGGTGGGTAAGCTGGTGTTCCACTTTACATTCCCTTCTACTGCATGATGGTGGACACGCAGCTCAAAACAGACCTTCACTCCCTACAAGAAATGCCTCTCTAATCAGACCGCCATCTCTGGGAAATAGACGTGACTACGGCTGGTCATGAGTGACTCTTAGGGCTGAAGAACATTGCATGCCGATAGAGACCGGAGGTTGGCTTCAAGGTTGCAGATAATGACAAAAATCGGTCCCTGTGTGCCGTTCAGGCTTCATCACCCCCTCAGCTTCATTTGCTTCACCACACCAACATTACAAAGCGGTATTTCTGTCACAGACCAAATTCCTCCATTACCTTTTCTACCTTGAAATAAGTTTCAGGTCTCAGGGAACTCCTGCCGATAATTCTTATATCTACAGATCACAAGACATTTGCGTAAACAGAACGTTGTTGATCTACGAATAGGTAAAATCATTAGGAACGCGTCACACTTAGCACATTGGACGCCCAGGGCTGCTCTATATGACATTATTTTAGTACATATGAAAAATATTTATGAAGCTAATAATAATTGTAGCGCTCGCTAACATTGGTGGTCGGTGGAAAATGGACGCCTTACAGGTAGCTGAAAAGATCATTGGTGTCAGTGGTAGCTTCTTCGAGCGGCAGAAATTGCTCACTGCTCAACCTCTAGAGCAGTCATTCTCTACCAGGGTGCCTTCTGGATTTGTCAGGGGTATCTTCAAATTGCCTTTAAAATGGGCAGGGCTCTGATGTGAAGGGGGCAACTGATATCAGGGGGACGGGGGTGGGGCTCTG